TTGAAATGGGCACAACATTTCGTCAATATTTCGTCAGTTCTCCGCACTGAATAGTCACGTGATGTGACGTAACATGAGTGTGATGCGATAATTTTAAACTTTCATGGAACGAAAATACATTTCCCAGGAATCAATACATTCCAAAAATTACGATTTGTTCAACAGATTTGTTATCAAAACGTAGATTACTTTATAAAACAGACGTATCTGTGTTGTATTTAGACTGGAAAGAAATATGGTGGACATTAAATACGATTTTTAAATTTGTTGAACTGACCGAATGTAGTACTGAACGAAATATGCAGCCGAGACTTCTCGATATTCTACGAGATCACGAACAGATAGCAGAAGAATTTCTCTTTTTGCTGCGTTTAATCGTTTCGTTCTTATTTATTAGCCATCATCCAGCGATGGAAACCTAATATAAATACAAAGTTTGATACAAGGAACAAACATGTAAGTGACTTTTATGATGTTTATTCATTTATCAGCACGTATTATACATTGAAAAACCAGTGTGTTTTTTCCGGAGTAAATACCCCATTTTTTGCATTGGACCTCGTCTGCCCAGATCTACGATGTCAGGAGTAGATAACTGGGCCAGACGAGTTTGGTTAGTTATGAGGGTGAAATTCCTGTTCCATATCCTCATGGCGATTGCGCATGCATCTTGCATGTTTCACTTGATCTGATTAGTCCATTTGCAAAATCAGTTGCTCCACTTCTATTTGTCTGAATTTTGTCCTTCTTTTGCAATGATCTTACATTTGCAGTATTATCTGATAAGAATAGCAAGATTGAGGTATGAATTATTTTTTCCTGTATCATTTTGGTTGTTATCTCGGGCTTGTATGACTAGTGTTGTCGCGATTAACTGATACATCGCCAAAGCTGTCTGATGCAAAACATTGATGTTTTAAAAAAATTTAATTTGTTCAAAATCACCCTTTCTTATCTTATTTGCACGCAAATGTCTTACCTTTCTCATGTCTTAATTATCCCAACGAACGAAGTTCGGTAGGGATATAGTGAAGCCCTCCGTCCGTCCGTCTGTCCATCCGTCCGTCCGTCCGGAAGATAACTCAAATATTAGTTGACAGATTTTCTTCATATTTGGTGGAAAGATGTATATTGATGAATAGTTTTACGCAAAAAAAATTTTTTCAAGATGGCCGCAGCTGTAAAAATGACGGGACTTTTTCGCAAAAATCTTAAATTTTTCATTCTAAACCAAAGTAATTAATATTATTGTTTGAAATTTTGGTAGTATATTCGCAACATCTATTTATTTCACATATATTCCGTGTTTTTCATCCCGACCCCCAGGGGCAGAAATTTCCGCTAATTTTTAGATCTTTCTGAAGTATAGCTTTATTATACTCAAATGAAAGGCAATTAAGAGTAGATTGCAAATATTGTATCTTTTTTCTGATTCGAGCCTCGTAAAATTCAAAATGGCCGTCTAATGTACGATTTCGCAATAATTTTTCGATCCCTTCAAAGTATGGCCATATAATACTCAAATTGAAGGAATTTTGGAGTAGATCACAATTATGGTATTATTTTTCAGATTTGTACCTCAGAAAATTCAAAATGGCTGCTTTGCAGGAATTCGCAATTCTAAAATCTAAAATTTTCAATTATAACCAAAGTAATGAGTATAATTGATTGGAATTCGGTAATTGATATTTTGTTCGTTGGGATTTGCTACTCTGCGGAGTTGCCATTATCTAGTTCATTTTCCAATGTTCTCTGATATTCTTTCGCTTTAAAACTGTTTTAGCTAGTCAAAATGAACCATTAATCTTAAACTTTTTACGTTCACTTCACTGTTACAGGAAGTACCCGGATGTACAATTATTTATTTCTTCCGTTCGGTATTTAGTGCATTAGTATTTCACTTCATATGACTGCCAAAGACTGGATGACCATGATAAAGATGCATATTATTATTTTGAAAATATCAATATTTTTTTAGTAAATAATTACCTTGACCTCTTGATCCTTGTCCAGAATGTAATGCATGGAATATAAGATGAGAGGGACTGTGACTCTCCCTGAGTGGTACATACTTTCCTGTGACAGATCTCGTATTGAATGTTGCCTGGATCTTCTTTTTTCTATTGCTACTTGTTTAGTTCAGTAAAACAGACTATGAACACAGTAGCTTTTACTGTATGGTCAATATTATATGTCACATCTAGGAGTGGATATGTCACCACTAGGAGTGGATATGTCACCACTAGGAGTGGATATGTCACCACTAGGAGTGGATTTGTCAACACTAGGAGCACAGTGACATCTCAGACCTTTCTGTGGTGGTGGTTGGTATTTGGCGGTTAGTGTTCTGTGTCTTTTACAAATGGTTGGTGGTAACATCTTGCATGTTACTACCTCGTTTTGATTGTTATGTTGACATTCCATTTTTGGAAATTAAAACGTGAAATTAACACCTTCCGAATTTGGATAAAACGTCCTAATGATAAAATATCATAATTTTTTTTTGCAAAGATAGAATTTGTGCATATTAAGACAACTTGTTTAACTTTGCTATGCTCAAACCAATTTTTAAAAAACTTAAAATCTTAATTATGATATTCAGCTGTTGTGTTTGAATAAAGAATTTTATTGCAAGTTATGTGTTGTGTCGTCATCAGCATTAAAAGACAATATAAAGGAAAGATTTTGTGTTGTTCAATGTTTTTTAGTAAGCTGGGGGGGGGGGTAGCAGTATGTTTGTTGCTACCCAAATCAGGGAATAATACACACTTTAAATAAGATTGATATGATCGATTATGTATGTTACTTAGGAATAATTGACAAGTCTTTAGTTAGAGTTTAGCTCTGAATCTGATGTGTCAACATTTAATTTGGACATTCCACAATCCAATTTTCCTCTCTGCCATGTAGTCATACGCCTGCAAAAACAATCTTATTAATTCTTCTTATATAAAATACATGTTTAGAGGTGAGAGAGAGTATATTAATTTTGAATATATAAAAGAGTAACATGAACTACTGCAACATTCTTGATATTGACATTTAATTCACTATTGAATATATACATATAGAACTAAAATAATTTTGCAATTTGTAAGGTGAAAAATAAACATGATCATAGATTTGAAATATTTTGTAAAGGTAGTGCACTCTTGATTCCATTGAATAGACTCTTTGAGGCAAATATTAAGTATTTGCCTTTCAGTTCATATGGTTCTTTTGCTTTGATTTCACAGAATTTGTCTTTCAACTTTAGGAATATTTGTTGCTCTTTATATGGTCAGTTAGTAAGAGATGCATTCTTAGACTTCACTCCAACGAGGCATTTATAAAACAGAGAAAGAGCATTTAACAAGAATTATAAGTTCTACGATTCCTTTTATACCAGTTCAAGAAGTAACAGGACTTATGATCGATTTCACAAGGATTAATGTTAGAATATATTAGATCGTTCAATTTCTTTGGGTTTTGATCCCATTTTTTCATCAATATATCTGTATATCAGAAATCTAATCACAAGGCTCCACATTTTGGCGCATTCACAGAGGAAACCAGAAATTCAAAATCATTTCGATATCAAACTACATGTATTTGAAAGTCATTTGTTCATTCAACTTTTTAAGGTAGGTTTAATTTTCTATGTGAACCTAAGCTTGATATATTTTTGAAAGGGTATTTTGATAGTTTGAAAGCTAACAGAAAAACATAGTTAGTTTAACCAGTTGGAGAATATTTATATTTTCACTTCAATTTACTCACCAATCTTGCCTTCAACACAGAAATTGAAGGATACTTGTTTCTATAAGGGCTTATACTCTGGATATATATTGTGATCTAGAATGAAAACTGGAAAGTACATGTTTGTATACTCCTTGATTAACTTTTAAACTTAATTTGATATGCATATCTAATGTTAATATGGTCAAAATCATCAAAACATAGTATTCAAAGGGGTTTACATTTTGCATGTTTTACTTGCATTCAAGTTTGGTTATTTATGCTAAACCCGCTACAAAGTATTGTAAAGGGTACTTTAGGTTTCAGGTGAGATTTTGAGTCTAGATACTGACATTTTAAGTTAACTATTCAGTGTGTGTATTTGGATTTGCCATTTAAAGGTTCAGTTTGAATTTAACTGACGGATAGCACAAGACATATATCAGTTGTACTACATGGTAGATTTTAGGATAGTGAAGCGTAGATAGTAGTTTTAGAGAAGAATATGCTAGGAAGGTAAATGATCAAGTAATTTGAATAAAGAAGTTTACTGGTAAGTCAAAAAATATTCATTATTCATAAGTTACTTTCTAACACCTGAGCTCAAAACAATTGACTTAACTAAACAAATATATTGTATTCAATACAGAAACTTTAAAAGAAACTGTAAAGTAACTTAAATTATGTACATTGATATGGGAACTTCAAAGTTAAACCAAAATATGAATGCAAGTTTCATATTTTTTATATATGTACATGTACCCTCAGAAAGAAAATGACTTTAAAATGACTTTACAAGCTGTTGAAAGCTTGGGTTTTAATGGTTGAAAGTTATGTTTGACTTTTAGAGGCAGATGCCTGTTTTTATGGCAATTTAAGTACAAGAATTCAAAGGATTTATGTGGAGTCGTTATATAGATTGGGTCAAAGTGCCTTGGGTTAATTACTTTGAAGGTAAGTTAGTTCATAAAAATTGGAGTAAGTGAGCAAAAGGTCAGTTGGTGAGGGAAGAAAACTCATATTCCATAGTTTTCTTCTGTTATGGTTTATGATATTACTACCAGCAGATTAAGGCTTATTTGTTAATTTACTGCAAATCAAAAGAAGGTATGACATGTTCCTACTCAAATAGTATTACAGAGTCTGAATGGGTCTAGGGGCTGAAAATAGACATGGGCAAAGTTTTACTTTTGATGAAATCACAGAATCCTAAACATGATGCAAAATGATTGATTTGGAAATTTTTCAGTCTTATTTTTTCACCCTCATGTTTCTGTTTCTTTCAGATAATCCTAAAGGTCTACCTTGATAGCTCTGAGAGGAAGTTTATTGAGGTTCCCATTGGCCCAGAAACATCTTGCAGATATATCATAGACTGTTGTAAAGAACCAGGGGAACAACTTTGCCACCTGGCTGAACTCTGGAGAGATTGTGGTAAGTGGTTTCAAAATTTTCTCTAATTCCTGCGGTAGAAGCATGCCAGCATCTGATTGGTTCAGTTCACTATTTCTATGGATCAGTTCATCAATATGCCTATATCTGAATATTTCAATTTAGAAATATCTTGCTGTTTTTTTTGTGCAATGGTTGAATGAAAAAACTTCGATCTAATGAAGTGTTTTGTAAAAATTTGTATCTTTCGACAAGAATGAAAAATTTGTTACATTGCATCATTCCATTGGGTTATTTCATGATACAAAACAAATACCATTTAATTTGAGATACATAAGCAGTATGTTTTGAATAACTTCTACTTCATCAGTAGGCATTTGCCAGATTGTTCATTAGAAAATCTTATTTTCAGAGCGCCCTATAAATGAAACAGAAAGGCCATATGATATTTTGGAAGAGTGGGGTATTCATCGCGACGAGGTGAAATTTTATTTACGTCACGAAGCTGCTGTGGGATTAAGCATGAGGCCAGGAGAGCAAGGTAATGACTCCAAAAATATTCACAATTTTTCTGTCAACATAAAACAAAACTGCCATGATGGTCTGACCGTTTCCTTGTTCATTCTCTTTTTGCATGGCTGTGATCTCCCCAGCATTAAAGCAAGTGGCCTGAGATTTTGAAAACAGGCTTGTTCCCACCTGAAAATTCATTTGCACCCACTAATTGTCATATTATGACCAATTTTGGTTTGAATTTTTTTTTGGTGAAAATGAGAATTTTGCACCCATTTGAGAAAAAATATTATATAAGTTGATATGCTTGAAGGTATTGGTGAAACTTCGCAAATTAAATGCTATGTTGTTGTTTTTTACTACAAGAGTTGACATATTGTTGTGTTCCCCCTACTTTTTTGTAACAGCGTTTGACAGTTGGTGTTCAGCATTTGTAACAAATAGGAGGTGGTGTCATTTTGCATGTAAATACCTTGTTCCTTGCGTTGTGGCCTTTTTTACACTCCATATATGAGTACATATTTTTCTGATACAGTGCTTTTATGATTGCCATACTCAGTATCAAATATCACAACAACTGCCAAAACTTATTTTTAGGTTTGTATTGAAATTGAAAATGCTCAGTTCATGATATAGAGCACATTGGACAAGTAAATAGATCCTTTCAATAAAACATGAAAATACTTTGACATAAAATTATTTTGACTGGACATTAGATTTAATAGCGTGATAACATGATCTTCAGCCTCTTGGGGATTGCTTACTTATGTTCTTTAATAGGGTTATAAACAGATAATGTCACATTTCAGGACAGTTTAATAAATCATTTAGATGAATTTCAATATTTTGATTACATCTTAAGCTTGTCATGATTCAGTAGGCACGCTTTACCTTGTTGTAATTCAATCCTCATGTCGCTAAGTTGTGCTACTGTAATGGGTTATACATACATGGATTTATAGTTTTCTCTATTATGAATATGTTTTTTTCTAATATTCCTCCTGTTTTAGGACAAACGAAACAATTTTAGGACAAATTAAAACTGCCATTGGTTCTTCTGATCTAATGCTCATGTCTATTTTATGAGGGTCCATACTTTGCCTTGTTTTTGTGAAATCTGCTTTTATGCCAAAATCACAATGTGAGGCCACTAGATTTGCAATTATCTTTATGTTCTACACACATCTACATCAGTGAAACCTAGAATTTAGGAATTACCCCTTTTGACCTTTATCTCAAAGTTGCAGGAATTTTATCTGAAAATCTTGACTTACCAAATATACCATACAAGGAATGAAAGTTGTTTTTCTGCGATTACTTGTAAATCATATGTTTGCTTTTATTTTAAGAAAAATTCTTGATATGCATTACCTTTATACTAATCTAGTATTATTTGATAGTTATATTATTTTCAGCTTTACTTTAATCTTGGTAGACTCAGTCAGCTTTTTTTCTGTGCATATTTTAAAGGATGAAAATAATTATGTTGGAAAGACCACTTAAAATTCTCAATGTTCCCATTCAGATTATATTACCAATTCAGTGAATTTATTTATATGAACTTAATTGAAGTACAAAGTACAATAGAAGTTACAGCTTGCTCTTTTGGCTAAAATCTTATTATTTTTATTCTAATTAAAAAAATCTTGATTTATTTATTTACTGCAAATGTCTTAGTTACTTAGTTTACTTAGCAAATATCTTTATCTTAATACTGCATCATCATTGTACATCTCAATGTTTCAGACATTATTACAGTACTGTAATGGAAAACCTGTATATATGATCACCTCTGTAATCTGAACTAATCTGTAATCTGAACTAATCTGTAATCTGTAATCCCAATTTAATGTCACCATGGCAAGTAGTGACATATTGTTATATCTTTTGGATTTTTGTGGATGGAGTTCAGTGGGTAGCAGTTGGTGTCTGGTGGTCGGCATCCGTAACAAATGGCAATGTGGTGACATTTTGCATGTTAATGCCTCATTTAATCTACCATGGATTATCATGTTAAAAATTGAAATGTAGACAGCCACCAATCTGGACACACCTTTGGCCCAGATTAGGCAGAATTTTACTTTAATAAATTCCTGACTTTTGACTTACAAAGCTTATATTTATGTTTGCAGGTAGACGGAATCCTTATGGATATTCAAGAGGGGATATGAGACTAGATGGGGGACATAACAATCACATGGTAAGTGGACATTAGACTTCCTCTTTGTATAAGGATGCTATAGTGAACTCTCTCTTACCAACAGAGAATGCATTTAAAGCAAGGGACCAATGGTATTTCAGAAACATGTGACCCCTCATCTCAAAACTTGCTTTGCTAAATTTTGAATTTTGACAGCTGTTTTAGGTTCTAAAAATAAGATGATTAATAGTATTCTAATCAAAAACTTTTCCTCTCTTCTCTAGACTTGTGGATTTCCCGAAATGTCATTGATCTTTTTTAATGTACATCAAGTTATGTCCAAAGAAAATGTTTAAATCAGATAAGTCTAATGAATATAAGTTGTTAAATATCATGCTGAAGCTGTAGATTGCATTAAACGTGTACAATTGCTCCAGGTGACTTGCTTTTAATCCTTAATTATACATTTGGAAGTATATGGACCATATTTGAATACATAAAGTTTAAATGAAAAGTTGAGTTCCAACATGGTAGATAAATAGTGTAGACAAAGCGAAACCTTGTTAGCAGATGATTATACACAGTAGTTTGCAAAACCAATAGTTTTACATTTGTAATTGCGAATGAGGTAGCTTAGTTATACATGGACATGACTATTGAATCAAACTCAAATTTAGCTTCTGTGTAACATAAACGTGAACTTGAATAAATGTACAACTGAACAAACTTTGAAAGTAATAAACTGATACAAGAGTGAAATATATGAGAGGATATTATTAAAGTCCACATCTTTGCATTGGAATTCCGTAAAGTTGAAGTATCTTAACATCATCAGTTTTCTTTGACCGTTTGTTCATATTTAGATATAGAAATAATAAAAATAGTCTTCAATTTTGCAATTGTTATATGCGGTGACTCTTGCCAAAATTATAAACCTTTGTTATGGATCAATAAAATTAATTGTGTAATAATCCCTTCTAATCTGTAATGTTATGGCCAGATATATTTCAGGTCAAAGCTTAAGTTTGCACCTGTGCGCACCTGCACAGGGACGCTTACTATAAATAGCATGTCATGCTTGTTCCATAGAAAAACTGTCCAGGAAAGAATGACAAGTTAACCACTCAGGCAGGGAAATCACGCTCATTGTACAAAGTTTGCGTGTACATTTATTTTATTTGAATGTTAGACTGACAGTAAATTAGAGTAATAATCAGTCATATTTTTTGTAGTAGTTTAGATAGAAGGAACTGACACTAAGCATTTGATGATGGATTATATCATGTTTCCAAAAATATCTGATGTTGCATAAAAGATAAATAGGGATTATCATTATGTGATCATGAAAAAATACAATGTGTGTCCTGAGAAAGAGCAAACTGAATTTTGTTTCATAATTAGACACCAAAACATTAAAAGGTCGACAAAATACCTGATCACGATCCTTACTACAGAGGTTCAGATGACTTCCTACTAAGATGATAGAAAAAAAATAGAAAAAAATAGAAAAAGAGAAAAAGAGATAACTCAAAAACCATGTGTGACCATAACCATGGTTTCCTTTCTTAAGAAACCCCATGCTTTGACTTTCACTAAAATTTGGATTATTGAATGTCTTGTTGGTGTGTCAATGATGCTAAGAGCATTGAATTGCAAATGTGAATGCAATAGTGAGGTAACATTTGCAAATCAGACACTGGTGAAAAAAACTGAACCAGCAATGTTTGTATATGACTTGATATAAAATTGTTTAAAATGTTGTGTTGCCTTAATGCCTTTACAGAGTGCTTTTTAACTTTTATACAGTAAAACTCGTGTACAGTAAACACATACCTATGGAGCCACAAAAATATGTTCACTATAGGTAGGTGTTCACTACAGAGAGGCAATTTTATACAGAACTAAGTGAAGTATGTGCTTAGAAGAGACATTCACTAGACATGGGTGTTACTGTATTATGGACATTAAGAGCTTTCAGTTAATAATAACAAAGAAACATCAAGTCAAGATTCATTAGTTGCTAACATTTTTTGTATGAGTAAATCCAAATGCAATGTATCATGAGGTATTTATATCAACTTGGCCTTCAAAAGAATTTCACGGAGATCATGTTTTTACACGTGATTTAGAATAATAGGGATCACTGAGTACGTTATCGTATAAGATTATTAGACTCCAGATGTAAATCTGGAGTCTATTGTTTTCGTCAGTATTCTTATTATTCTTTATTCTTTATTATTCTTTATTATTCTTTCCCAGTTTTCTCGATAACCATAAGGCTTCCAATAAAGATCATTATGCAGTCAATTTATGTCCAGTATCTAGTTCCTCGGAAATTGGGTCAAATTTTTATCTAGGTCAAAGGTCAAGAACTAGGTCAAATCCAGTACTTTGTCACTTTTTTCGATTTTCTCGGTCGTCCTTCAATATTTTTGATCCGGTTTTTTTTCATTGTGTTCCTCATAAAAAAGTAGAAAATCTAGGGTCGATTTAGTTTTTTGGTATCTCAAACCGATTTCGAGATATCAGTGTCCGAAAACGAGGTCCAAAAAAAAAATCTCCGAATCCAATGTCCAGGATATCAGTCTTATAGGAAATTTTCTCAGGATTCCGAATCTGAAAACCAAATTCGAATCAGACTTCCGGTTCAGAAGTTATGGCGTTTTGAAAATTCAAAAATCGCTAAATTTGGTGCCTCATGTTAATTCAATGGGAAAAAATATTTTTTTGAAGTGTAAAATACGAGATATAGACTAAGCACAGCTAAACATAATGGAAGCCCATAAAAGAAAGGGACCTCAAAACCTTCTTTTCATAAAAATTTGGACACCAAAATCCCTAGGTCAAAATCTAGGTCAAATTCATTTTGTATACATGTAGCCAAGAGTGTGCTAATAGTGTTAGCCTTTTGCCGTCAGAAAGTATTTTGACCCACTTTTGAGATATGGTGTCCGAAAAGTAGGTCAAAATAAAAAATTCTCCAAATTTAACGTTTGAGTTAACCTTTACCAATTAGATTGCCCGATTTATTCAGTCCTTAGTAGGTGACTTCCTGTTGACCTAGAAATGGCGATGTTTCGAAAAATATTTCTCAATTCAACAATTCAACAGTGTTTAAGTCGTTTTTAGTGAACAAATCGTACAAAATGACGGCCAAATACGATCACAACGAAAATGTGGAGGAAATGGATTGCGATTTCGAGCTCTTTAGGCTCTTGGAAGCCGATAATGGTCATCGAAAATAGAAACTAGAATATTTTCTGAACTGAAAAGAAGAACATTCGATCTCTGCAAATTCAGTTTTGGATTCTGACCAGACGTTGAATCTCCCGAGGGGCGAAACGGCGGATTCTGGAGGAGTATTCATGGTATATTCAAGCCCAGTCGTGTTTATGTACGAAAAAAAATCATGAGAACATTTTTCTCATGAGCCACGCTAGTGTATCTTCCCTTTGTGAAAATTTTATCCAGATTCATTCAGTAGTTATTGAGATATTAATTATTTAGTCCAGGCATATCATTTTTGAAAAATAAGTCAGATGCGTGGGATATATTTGCTGAAATAAGTCGGAGTGCAGAAGGTTAAAGCTTACTTAGTTAATTATTATCAGATTCTGATTTTTGCTCTTTTTACATTGACATGCCAGCACATCAAAAAGAAGGCTTCGTCTGAAATAGGAGTGTTTGTGACAGGTGTTATAGCACTTTGACATGCTATGCTTTATAATATATAATTTAGAAATTATCCTAGCATGTCATATATCATTATACAGCAATTACTGATAACATGTGATGAAAATAGAAACTTGGTAACATTTTTGGACATATTGCTATTTTTTAATCATATTCTTGTTATTACATGTTCATTCAGCAATTTTTGCAGTTAAAAACTGAGTTTTTTCTAAAATTATAGTTTTTGGCATAAGGCGGTCAAGAGCTGTTATAACTGAAAATGTTTATTTTGTTGGTATTTTATTATATAGTATATAGTAAATGGTGATATTTTGATATTCAAAATTTTCAGTGAATGCCTGTTTCTAACTTACATTAGAAGAGGGCTGTACTCTTTCAGGGAAGCTAGAGATTTTATGTCAACTTAACCTTAATTTTTTAAGAAAATATATAGGTCAAAAATGTCCTCCCTGGCTACAGGCATATACTGTATGAAGTTTCATACTTGAGAGTTCTGCATGGGAGATTAGTGTTCAAAAATGCAGGTGTTTTTTACCTTGATTGGTTTATTACAATTGCATGTACATGTACATTTACAGTAGCTACACAGAAGATCTTTTAATGAGAAATGTATGCTATATAATGGTGTATACTGTACTAAATCAATTTGCTATAGATTAAAGCCATGGTGTCTAACTACCTATATTATCCTCTTTAAGACAATAATTTCTATTGGCATACATTTAATCTTTTAATATGATTAATAAATTATAGTAAATGAACTTTCCTTGATTAAATCATTGTCCTGTTTCTATATACATGTACATGTAAATTATCGTTTTAAACTAGAATTTACAATATTCAGTATTAATGGTTTTTGAAAGATAATCAGAGGCATCAAATGATTGTTTATTTTATTTTTAAATGTCTGTTCTCTGCAGTAATATGTTTTAGGTTGTTAGGAATTAAGTTTTGAGCCTATTTCCAGCAAAAAATGTTCAAGTACTTGATGACATTTGAAATTGGCCAAGTAACTAATGAAATAAGGCCAGCAGATTGGTGATAAGTTACAGTAACTGTCTCTTGAAAAATATGTCTGCTGTTTTTTTTAATCAATAGAAAGAAAGTACCAAGCAAGCAAGTAGATTTTTAATTATAATTTTTGTATGATATCTCTTCATCTAGTGGTTTCCTTGATTTTGATTTTAGAAGAAAATGAGATAACAACATGATCAATTTGAAATATTTTGGATGGTTAACTAATAGTGGGGGGAATTTAGTGGAAAATATTTCAAATGGTGATACAAGCAAATTTATTGGCTTAATCTGTTATTTAAACTATTTGGAAAAATTCTGTCCCTGTGATCGATCAAACTGAACACTATTTC